TAAAGAGATTTGAGTTGAGGTTTTCCATTTTATAGTTAAGAAAATGGAGGTTTATGTTTTGTTGTCAATAGGTATAAAGAAGATTAAGTAACTAAGAATTGATATTTTGAGTCACGATGAAGATAAAGTTAGTAGGTAATGGTTATTATGTATCGTTGTAGGCAATTTTATGTTATCATATGTTCTATATGTAACCATATTAAACAATAGCATCGTATAATCTTATTCTTCGACAACTTTTTAACAAATGCGCAAGTGTTTTTTCAACAGGACTCGATGGAATATGGTCAGCTTTGACCGTGCTAATTTAATGACAGTGGTATTCCTTTAGCAGTATTATTGGTGAGACAATAATATTTTACAAAACTATTTATATGATTACTTTTATACAAGAAAACGTTATTTTTATTGAAGTAGAATAACAATCTGGTTAATTTAAAGAGCAATACTACTTACAAAGATAAAAATAAAGAGGTCATACAAAGATATATTTCACCCTTCATTCATGATTTCTTCTCCTCTCTCTCTTTTCCGGTTTTTTTTATTTTCCTTCCTGATGAGATTTTTGTAGCTCTCTTTGTATTGTCTTTGTAAGGATAGCATTTTTTCAATTTAAATTAGAGACAAAAAAAAAAAATTAAATAAATTATCTCGGTAAATCACAAAATGAAGATCTGAACGCGTTAGGTGGGGAGTAGGGAAAACAAGAGCAGGAATGGTAAATGCAGTTGTAGGAAAAAGAGAATTATAATAAATGCGCGTGAGAGTACGTACGTGGGCGTATTCCAAGGAAATAAATGGCAGTGTGAGATAATTCCTTGCAGGACAGAAATTTTGGATTACTTTCAGACACCACCCGATCGCCCCAGTAGCCGCTCTTATTTAATGCATTTTTGTCGTCCGCAAACCCAGACAACCGCCTGGTCTGCAATTTCTCAATTTCAAGGGTATTTCGGCAAATTCTGTCATTGTTGTTCGGGATTGGTATTGGGCTCTCAATCTTATAAACACAATCGAATTTCGTTCCTCTCTCTCCTCTCTCCAACCAGTAAAAGAATTATTAAAACTGTTTCGTTCTCTGTTATCATACCATCTTTATTTTAAGCATATTTTATATAATAAAACGTATTTTTATTAATTTTAAATATAAAGAATAAATTTTTATTCAAATATATAAACTCTTTAAATTTAAAAAAAAAATTTATTTTTTCAATAAAAAATTTAATAAAAGAGATAATAATAAATATATATAAAAACATACAATTTATTATAAAATTAAGATAGAGAGTGAAATTTGATTTTATGTTAAGAGTCAAACACACTCTTTAATTTATATTTAAAAAAAAGAATCGTTGGACTTTGTTTCTATGGATAAACTCTTTATAATAAAGAGTTTGAGTTATAAAAGAGTCATTTGGAGATACTCTTAGAGCACTCCAATGATGCTCTTATTTTAAAGAGCATCTTTGATTTCAATATAAAGAACAAAGTTTTTATTCAAACCCAATACTCTTTAATTTATTAGAGAGAATATGTTTTTCCAAAAAAGAAACTTAATAATAGAGATAAATCATAAATAAAATATATAGAACTTATAATTTATTATTTAAAATTAGGATTAGAGTGAAATTTGACTCTCTGAAGTGGAGAGTCAAACTCACTCTTTAATTTATATTTAAAGAATAAAGAGTATGTGGGACCTTATTGTTATGGAAACTTTTTTAATAAATAGTTTGAGTCATAAAGAGTCTTTTGGAGATCTTATAATGTTTTAAAAAATACTATTTAAAAAAATAAATTGAATTATTTTTACGAGAAAGGTAGTTATTAATATTTTGAAAGTTGAATAAAATATAATTAAAAGTTGAGAATATTGAAAAAATGTCTTTGGGGGTTTTAGGATATGATAGTGGAATGGATATGATATAATAGTGAACCAAATGGATAATTTTAGGGATAAAATAGTAAAATTTATCATATTGCGAAGAATAACAAAAGAGTTATGATTATTATATAAGTTGATTACATTGCAAATAGGGTGAAGGAAGATAATTATATAAGAGGGATTTTAATTGAGATAGAAAGCTTGTCAACTGGATTTTAACTGACAATATTTTACTTAAATTGATTAAAGATTTTTTAGAATGGCATGGTCTAAATGATTATATTTGAGGGAGTTATGGTTGTAATAATAAAATAATTACTCGAGATAAAACAACTAATTGTCACTGAAATAAAAAAGAAAAATAGGTGTGATAATTGTACGAAAAATCCAGAAGTCGGCACCTAGAAAGATCAAAGTTGTTTACAATTACATACAAAGAGATGACTAACGTGATTGATTTTGATTGAATTATTCTCAAATTCTAAATATAAAAAATTATACGGAACTACTCATATCATTTTCTCTTTACGTGTTTCTGCTTCTCATGTTCTAGCCCTTTGTTATAGACGGTCTGGAGTTTTGTAACTTGGGTTTTCAATTGAATCATTTCATGTATTCATTTGCCTTTAATAGTAATTTTTGGCATGATAGCACAGTGGGAAAGGGTGTTCCAGTTTTGATGACCAACTTTTCTCTGTTAACAATCAACTTAAGAAGCCCTAATAAATATTAAAAAACCTCCTTCAACATATCAAACCATGATGTTTTAATACTAAGTGATCTCAAAGAGAGAAATTATCAATTTTTTTGAAATAAAATCAATTAATTGATTAAAAAACATAGAGAATATATCCAAAGTGGTGGGGGCAATTTAGTTTGTCAAATAGGCTACAAATTATGCACCTTCTTTAAACACGAACCTGCATGGTAAAAATGAGAACAAAAGTTTCCCCAACACACGTATAGCATTCTTCATTGCTGGCTGCAGCTAGACCCACCGCAACAAAACTTAGGAATTTTCATATTTTCTCTATAGTAAAGTTCAGAAACAATAATTGTAGCTTTGAATTAAGATATTATAAATATATTTAATGTTATAGATAACGTGGACAGGTTTGATTTCTTGTATGATGGGTTAAGTTAGATGGTCAATGTAAAAAATTTTGCACTTTCTAGTCAGGTTTTGGGCACCCCCCTCATATAAAACAGCTAGGCAGATTTGGAATTGGAAACAAACAAACAAGGGCAAAAATGCCTTTCCATTAAAAGTTTGAAGGGGCAAAATAGTCCTATAAAAAGGAAACTCCCTTGTAGTAATACAGTCAAAAGGTTGTTTTATTTGTCCACAGAAGAATTAAAAAAAAAAAAAAATTGTGATGATGATATGACAACGTTGGCTTATTAGAAATGTTGTATAAAAGAGACGAGTGGGAGAGAGAGAAAAGGGAAACAAAGGTCAAAGGAGGCAGTTGAGATTTAATGGTAGTATAGGGGTAATGATTTTGGTGAAGACAGATCAGAAACTCGTGATAAAGAATTTTTATTTTTCATTGTCGTCTCTCCTGTGTCCAGAGATTATCAGTCCCTCCTTCAGGAATTCACAGCTCTTCTGTGATCTTTTCTCTTCCCTTATTCATTTCTTATGTAGACGCCTGTTCAACACTGCTTCTATAATTTCTTTAAGCCTAGACACTTCCAACAAGATTGAATATCATCAACTCGTTTCTTAAAGGCGTTTTTTGAACTTCTTTTTTGAGGTCTCTCAAAAATGGGTAGTTGTGGGAGGAGTGGAGCGGTGAGGCAGTATATAAGATCAAAGGTGCTCGTTTGAGATGGACTCCTGAGCTTCATCACTGTTTTGTTCACGCTATTGAGAGACTTGGTGGCCATGAAAGTAAGTTTCTTCTCTACTATCTATCTTTTGTGTTATCCTCAAAAAAGTGTTTCCTCTGTAGAAGCTACTCCTAAACTTGTTCTTCAGTTGATGGATGTGAAAGGACTCACCATTTCACATGTCAGAGCCACTCCAGGTTGGCCTTCTTTTTTGTTTATTATGCTACTTTCTTCCTTTAAATAGCTTGAAATATGTCCTCTAACGGGTTATTGTTGTATATGGATCCTTTTTGTTCCCACCAGATGTATAGAAGCATGAGGAGTGATCTGGGAAGACAAGGTAAATTGAAATCTTAAATTTAATTTTTCATATTCTAAAGTTTTCATTTCGTTTCCACATTTTGGAAAATCAACCTTAAGATTTGTGTTTGGTGACTTGGTCCATCATATACATAATTTTGTCTAGCATTTAAGGCAGGCGATTTGCGCAATGAAGTTTCCTCAATTGGTTCTTATACAAAGTCAAATAAAATTCTATGAACTCACAATTTTAACAATTTTTCCTTTAGAATTGAGTAGATGCTGTAACACCTCATTATTATATTATTCTCTTTCTGCCTTAGTTGGTACCAAATAGATGACGACAAATGTTAACCTGCACCATTCCAGATAATCTAATATTGGTATTTTTTTATGAAATCCACAGTCACTATAATTTTCTGAATCAAACCCATGTTAATGCAAAAGACGTAGCACATTCATGGATTATCATCCTCAGAAAAATCTTTACTCAACTTGCATTTTTTCCTTGCAAATGACAGATAAGGTTCTACTCAGCAAGGAAGACAATCTTTTGAACACCATGATGGGTGTGTTGATGAAGAAAAGATATGGGTTTTCAGCACCCATCTCACGAACCATAAAAGAATCATATTCTCAATGCATCTACACTACTCAACCTTCAAAAAGGTCCGCTTTGCTTCACTCCTCAGGGTTTCACACTTACCAAAAAGTCACTAAAAGTTGAACACTAGTGTGAAAAAACCAAACTAAAAAAGATTTACATTATCTGATTTTTCTTTTAAAGTCCTTGCCTTTCTTTAAATCCTTCTGTTTTAAATTTTCTTATCAGAGCAGAACCGAGACAATGATTCAATGTCTGATCAGAACCTGCAGCAATGCAGCCAAGGAATAGTGAAACTGTCTCAACTCCGTACCCTTTGATGATTATCTGATAAAGGAATGAAGGAGGTTATGGTGCACCTGCTCCATCACCACTTCACTTCGCAACCTAAACTCTTTCAAATATGCTTTACCAGAATCTCATTTCCTCAGGGTACACTTTTAACTTCTTTTCTTTTGCCAGCTTTTCTGATGAGGTGAGTGTAATGTTGGTGTTTCGGTATCAAGTTTGCTTGTTGTTTCACCCAACTCATCACAGATTGTAGGGTAGTATTTCTTTAAGTTTTCGTGTTCAAATCTTAAGCACTTAAAAATTTTTGAATATTAAAAACCCCCTTGAAATAGAGGCAATTTTAATAATTTTAAGGATATTAATAATTATAGAGGATTTTTAATGGTTTTGGAAAATTGTGTGGCTTAGCAATAAACAATTCCACAAGGAATAATATATTAATATGAAATAAATTCGGTTCCTGAATATATTGCCTTTATGACCACTGGATGCATGGATATCCATACTTTGGATCAGCTTCGACATCTGCACACTGTGCTTTCATTTCGCTTCACAGCTTGAAACCATTCTGGGAAAAGCACTCCCTTTAGGGTTGAGATTTTTTAATTATCTTTCTTTACCCTTTAAAGCACTTTAGTTAGTGGCTATTAAGCCGGTGAAATTAACATCACATTCTTTATATGTAAATTTTAGTTATTTTCTTTGTTGCTTGCAGATGAGAAATCTTAAGTCAAGTTTCCTAATTCAGTGGTCCAGTATAGAATACTTCACAATTATTATTAATTTATTATTATTGATGGGGGACCTCTTGGGAGGTTCAAACGGAAATTCAAATGAGCTTTTATTGCGTTGAAACACAGTTACTTTAGAACCAACAGTTTTTTTTTTTTTTTTTAAGTTTTCAGTGGTAGCGAGGACTGCCCGTTTCTCGAATAATAGGGCTGCCCTTTCTGATTTTGGCAGTTCATTTCTTGCAAAAATCAACTTTGAATTTCATTTACAAAGACAAAATAATGATAAAAAACATACCCAGTATTTGTTTTGTAGTGAATATGAATTTGGATTCTCATGATTTTGAATAAGCTTTGATTATTTAAAATTTACGTATCTGAATATTTTGTTTCTCAGGTTGATAAACTAGAGGATTTAAATTCCTCACATGGAAACAATGGAAGGGGAAGAGCAGATGACAAAGAGGTTGTTGATTACGAGTTATCGTTGTCACTCTCTTTGCCATCCCAGAGAAGTAATGGTTGTTCTTCAACAAGCGAGATGAGCGAGGCAATTTCATACTCTAGGTCTAATTTTAAAGAATGCTTTGGTTCATCTTCCAGGAGATATAATAACATTAATTTAGATCTATCAATTGCTCTTTGTGGTACCTAGTCAATATCACTGTAAAAATATTCTTATCAAGTTTATCTTCCTTTTTTTCATTATTTTTCTTTGTTCTTGAGCTCCAGATTTTGATTCCAACTGTATAACCTTGTTACAGATATTACATACGGTTGGTATTTTAGTTTTTTTTATTAGACTGTCATTTCAGTGAGGAGAGGTATGGATGGTAACCCTTATGAAATTATATTGGAATTTGAACAACTAAGAAAAGATTCGGAAGAAAATCAAGAAGAATATCCCGTTAATTTAGTCCTAATTTTAAATTAATATTCCATTAATTTCAAAATTACCAACATTGCAATCAAAGCAAACTATAGCTTATTAAAACAAGGGAAAAATAATTTTTAAAGGGATTGACAAACGTATCTTACAAACTTTTTGATCGGTTAGGATTGTTCGGTGAATGTAGGGCTAAGATTTGTCGCAAATCAATGGCCTAGATTGAATCTTGCCATTTTGGTTTCTCGGTTGCTACTGTAAAACGGGTTATTTGCTCTTAATCTCCCATTCTTGCAATCTTGAAGGCCTTTCTGTTGGCTCATCTCCTTTGTGATCCTCACTTCCTTCTTTCATGATGACTTTTCGACGCACCTTTTTGTCTATGCATTTTAGTAAGTTTCTTTATACCCGTTCTTTTTGTTTTCTTGAAGTTTTTACTATTGGGGTGACCAATATCACGGCTAGGTTAGTTCTTTTAGGTTTAAAAAACCCTCTAACCTTGGGTTTATGAACGTCTTGATGAGTGGCCGCCAGAATCCTTCGCTGGAATTCTCCTCGGTTGTTATGAATCTAGATAGCTCACTTCTGTTTCTTTTTGTACGAGCTTTCTGGATGTCTAAACTGGAGGCAAGTATGGATAGGTTGCTCGTTTTTTGACATTTGATACTTGTCTCCTTGTTTCAGGTATCCACGAGCGAGCTTGGTAAAAATTGTCTTCCCGCGCATCAGCATTGAAAGACTGTTCGTATAGGGCTCCCTAGTAGCTTCAGTTGGTAGTGGGGAGAGAGCTCAGGATGAGCTTGGTGCTGTGGCTCTTGAGCGGACCGCAAGTAGTGGGAGAACTCATTGAACCAGGGTGAGGAAAACCCTGGTGCAAGTACCCCGCATCAAACTAGGTTTAGGAAATATCTGACCTTTTCGATCGCCGAGGTTGATCTGAGGCGGATAGGGGAGAACTATGCAATCCCACGCAAACATCATCTTCGCGTTCCAGGAGATACTAGAGGTGGAACAAATGGGCTGTGTTAGACGGGTCAACCCTAACCTAGCCCGCCTCAACTTGGGTTCAACCTGGCCAGAGTATACCCCACCGGGTGGGTTGTTTTTTTTTTTTTCCAAAACCCATCCAACTTGCCGGGTTGGGGGTTGTCAACCCGTTGGGTCAACTTGGTGGCAGCTCAATGGCTAACTCGTAGGGTTGACCTGCGAGTTGGAAAAAAAATAAAAATTGAATTAAATATTTTTTTTTGTAGAAACCCATTTAACTTTTTAAATATAGTTGTTTTATAGCAGTTGACTTTTTGGTCATTTTCTTTTCCCATTTTTTTTCTATAAATAGAGTCTAAACATCTCGTATTTCCTTACATCCCAAATTCTCCCATTCTCCCGTTTTCTCTAATCTCTATTGAAATCTCTCAATCTATTTGTTGTCAATTTGCTTTCATTTTAATTTTTATTAGTTTTTGGCTTTTTGCAATTTTCAATTCATATTTCCAAATTCTAATTCTCCTTCTTTAATTCTTTTATATCCATTTTTTTTTTAAAACTAGAATGGAAGATATTTCCATCCCATCAATTTCGATGATGAAGAAAATTATCCTAGTCCCCCTGAATTTACTAACGTAAATGTAGTGGATTCAAACAGTTCCGCTTTCCCATTCTTAGAATCCGATGCACCTCATAATATTCCCCCCTTCCTGCCCATGCTACTACAGCTCCTGGTGGTTCTAAAGGTCATTCTCGTAATTGTCATCCTCATCCAACTCCATCTCAAGCAGAAGCGGGTTCATCAACTGTAGTTAGAACCGACGACAGACACACATCAGGCGTTTGGGTGCATTTCAAATAGTTTTACGAGACGAAAAATGGAGTTCAAGTGAGGAAAGCAAAATTCAAGTATTGTGGAAATATTTATAAAGCCGATATAGGTAATGGTATTAGTACTTTAAAAAGACATGCTAGTAAACATATAAATCATCATGGAAATAGAGAAACCAATCAAACTCAAATAACTGGTATGGGTACTTCTTGGCGTTATAATTCTGATGTATATAGGGAACAATTAGCTTTATATATTTCTGCAACTGATCAACCTATTAATATAGTTGAAGATAAATATTTTGAAAGATTTATTAATTAAATTTTTTTTTTTCCAAAATTTAAAACTTATTCTAAAACTGTAACTAGAAATGATTTAATAAATTTTTTTGGGAAAATGAAATTAGAATTAAGAAATAAAATACATAATTGTCATGTTAGTGTGACTCTAACCGCCAATATTTGGAGTGGTAGAGCTAAACAAGATTATATTTGTGTGACTAGTCATTATTTTAATAACGAATGTAAATTAAATAAATCTTTATTGAGATTTATATTAATGAATGTGGATCATAGTGGTCAACAAATTTATAATAAATTTTTTGAAGTTTTAGAAGATTATGATATTGTTCACAAAGTGATAAGTTTAACTTTAGATAATGTAAGTGCTAACAGTAAAACTATAGATTTTTTTTTTTAAAACAAATTTTCCTATTTATGACAATTTAAAGTTTTTTCACCAACGTTGTACATGTCACAATATTAATTTAAATGTGAAAAGTATTATGAAAAAAATTAGAAATAATATTGATAGAATTAGAGATTCTTTAGCTTGGATTACTAGTAGTAATAAAAGAAATGCAGAATTTCAAGATGCTTATATAAAATCAAATTTGTCTCCTAGAACTTTTGCATTAGACATGCCTGTTAGATGAAATAGTATTTATTTAATGCTTGATTCATGTTTACCTTATGCAAATTTAATTAGTTATTATGTAGCAAATAATAGGGGTCCTCATTGTTTGGTAGACGGTGATTGACATATTGTAACAACTGCTGTAAACTAGTACAATGCATGCATAATAACAATAGAAAATGGGCCCAAAACTTTTCCTTTTATTATAAGTCATACGTCTTTTACAAAAATGCCATTTTAAAAGACAAAACAGGGGAAACAGTGTAGCTATTGCTCCTCGCTTGCCGACGCCCCTCCGACTGCATTATCACCTAGATCCTGCATCCACAAAGGAAAAATAACGGGGTGAGCACAAAATAATGCTCAGTAAGTAAAACCCTCTATCTGTCTATCCCCGTATTTATTACTCTTAATTCTTTCCTCACACTTTCTGTTGTTTCCTACTAAACGTCATGGCCTCATCTCACCGGAGGTACGACCGGATGGCGTTCACACAGCACTATCTCACTCTTCATGACTATCGGATGGAATTCACATAGTACCAACCCGTTCTTAGTGACTACCGAGTGGGGATCACGAAGCACCTACCCGGTTTTCGTAATTATCGGGTGGAGACCACATAGCACCTACCCATTCCTCATGACTTTCGGGTAACGATCACCAAGCATTAACCCGTTCCTAATCACTGTCGGGTGATGATCACAAAGCATCAACCCATTTCTAATAAATATCGGGTGATGATCACAAAGCATCAACCCCTTTTCTAATAACTAACTGGGTGATGGTCACAAAGCATTCACCCGTTTCTAATACCTATCGGGTAATGATCACAAAGCATCAACCCATTTCTAATAGCTATTCGGGTGGTGATCAAAAAGCATCCACCCGATTCTCATAACTGTCGGGTGATGATTACAAAGCATCCACCCCTTTCTAATACTCTTCTCATTCACTCTATTCTAGCACTTTTCATTCTCTCTACCCTTAGAGTAGTTGCATCCACAAAGTTCTCTACTCATAGAGCAAGTGCATATACAAAGTTTCCTACTCTTTCTTAGGTCACTTCTCAATGCACAATTAATGCCTATGGATGGTTCATCTCCACTAATGCACTTATGAAATGCCAATATGCAATGTTGCAAGAATTAAGGTTCACTACTCATTCTCAAACCTCTATTAGGCATTTCATCAAACAACTCAAGTGCATAATAAAACTCTACTATAACAATAATTCTAAATCTTTCTCTAACCATCCAAAATGGGGAGAAACCCCCTCACATAGCCACATATCCTGCCAAAGAAAGACACTTCCAAAAGGGTTCCTTAATACCCTTCAATTCCATCTCAAACTACCTTTCCAACCCACATCTCACTTCTTATATTTGCAATGTATAAACAATCACAAAGCACTAGAAATCTCTATTTAAGCCTCAATAACATGGCATATAACATGTATATAACATACATACATAAGTGCTATCAAAACCCTAATCAAGAAAATTCCCAAATCTCAACTTGGGTTGGGGTTTACTTACCTTGTTATGGAGAGATTTCACTAACTCTTCCTTTCACTTGGTTTGCTTGACTTTTTCTCTACTCTTAAACAAAAGAACAAAAACCCTCAATATTCAATATATACAAAAACTCACAAAGCTTCACAACCAAAGCAAGAATCCTTACCTTAGGATGCCTTAGGTTGATTTTCTACCCCAAATCACTCCAAAAGCCCTTTAAAACTCCTTGATCAAAAGAAAGAGAATTTGAGAGGAAGCAAGAGAGGAGAGTGGCGATGGAGAAGAAGAATGAAGGGTTTGCAATGACTTAATTCCTTTTAATGAAATTTATACACAAGCATTCCCATTTTGCCCTTACTCTTCTTTGGGAATTCTATCTATATCCTTTGATTCATTACAAACACACCCCTATAGCAACATATTCTCTATGAAAATTCCTTACACTTTACTCCCCACTTTTCTTGCTAATTAGGGGTAGAATGGTCAAATTGCACTTAGGGAAGAAAATATCTAAAACTTAACAAACATTTTGGTCGGCCTGTCGCCGCGACGAAACTTTCCAGCAGCTTCCCGT